GGCTGTAAATTCATGTCCCTCTGCTGGAGTGGCAGCTCTATCATCAAATTCGATTATGTGTGGGATGAGGCCAACTTAAATCAAATCATGTTTATAAAAAAAAAAGAAAGAAGGTTTTTAAAAGGGCTGGGTTTAAACAACCTCTGTGGGCCTTTGAACAATTCTCCAAAATGCAGAGACACACTCACCCTGTAAGGCCTCGGGTCTTCCACACGTCATAGAGCACCAGCGGGATGTAGCCGCTGGCTGTGGCCGACCCAGCCTATAAAGAGAGAGAGCGAGCAAATAGAGGTGTGATGATAGATGGACCATCCTTCACTTCCTGCTCCTCGGATAGACACCATGTTTAGTCTTCCTCAGCTGGGCTTCCTTTAACCCCCACCCTCCCTCGGTCTAGTACTTATATTTACACACAGCTTAGATGGCCAGAAAGTTTCTTAATCCATCACTGCCAAAGGTACGAGAGCTGTAGGCCCGGGATAGTCAGAGTTAAGCGAGGGTGGGAGGCGGCAGCAGAGAGGGCAAAGCAAAAGAACGAGGCAGTGGAGGGCAGACTAAAATGAGGAGGAAAGTACAGTATGTGAAACATGCCAGTTCACGCTACACCCCACTGAGCGTGTGTGGCGTTCGCTGTAAAATGTGACTCACAGATCCGCTGAACAAGGGGGAGATTCACACAGATTTCTTTATGTGAGAGAAAAAAGCAGACACCCCTATTTCTGACAGGGGGCTGAGAAATGACTCTCTCCTGTTTTCGTCTGACAAGTTTTCTTTTCCTTTACTGCTGTGGAATGATGGAAAGAGAGAATGAAGGGAAGCGTGTCCAAAACACACACACACACACACACACACACACACACACAGTCCCTGTGTAACAGACATATCTTGATGCAGCTCAAACTATAAGTCTGGCTTATTTAGGCTTGCTTTCTTATCTGAAATCCTCAAAGTCATGTCAGCAAATGTAAAACTGTGCTTCCAAGTTCTCCTGTAGCCACACTGTTTCATGCAATAAAATGAACGACAGTAATGGCTATTGCTTAAGTTGTTCAGCCATCAGCGGAGGTAGTGAATGTGACTGTGATGGCAGCGGCGTGCTGCGCTGGCAGGAATCCCACCAGCCTAGGGAGAGCAGCAGTGTCACGCTGTGCCAGGCAGGTGGTGAAGTAGGAGTTGTACCCTGGAGTCCTTTAACACCTCCTGCTGCTTTGGTCTTGTGGTGTCACGCTGCCTACCGCACAACACCGCTCTTTCATTCTGCCTGGAACCTTCTCCTCTTCTGCTGTGGGAAGGAAGCTGATGTGACAGGTTCCAACCCCCACGTTTCCTCCGCTTCATCCGATCCAAACTGCCCACACCCATCAGCACCAGCCCTGCTCTGCCTGTCTCTCCATCACTCTCCTGCCTGGACTTGTCATGCTTTGCTGCTGTGGGAGTTTGTGGGACTGAACCAAACTCTAGTCTGACATGATCTGTAAAATATGATGTTACCTTTAAAGTTGACACGTTGCAAGTAGAAATAAGTTTGAACTAACACTGTCACTTTTGGAAATCTAGTATGTTGTTTTAATGTCTTTGTTGCTTCATAACTTAGACAAAACTCATTTTACAATTGTTTGTACATTTTTCTTAAAGCTGAAAAGATTAATTGATTCATCAAACAGTGACAGAAAATTAACAGGCAGCTAATCTGATCATTGATGAATCACTTCTCTAGTACATCTGCTGGCTCCGCCTTCTAAAATCTGAAGATTTGCTGTGTTTTGCATCATAAGAGGTAGAAAATCTAACATACAATATCTTTCTAATATCCATTTAATTTATTTGGGTTGTGCGATGTAGATTAGACAAAACAAATCATATGTAAATGTCCCCTTGTGTTTTAGGAAATTGAGATTTTTAGGTGAATCAAAAACTTGGCCTTATAAAAGCCTACCCAAAATGCTTCGAGGCAGCACAGGCTGAGTCCTTCACTGGTGGCAAATGACAGGAAGCTTTACAGGAAGCTTTTGTACTATGTGGTTCCACACAAGAGACCACCACTGACTGCCTGTTGTGTTAATTCCAGTATCTCATTAGTTGGGACTGGTGGAGGGGGGTGTGTGGAGAGGAATGGAACACACCGTCTTCCTCAAGGACAGTCGGGGTGTGTTTGTGAGGTGCCGACTGGGGTAACTCTGCACTCACCATCATCATATGTGCGCGCACACACACACACACACACACACACACACACACACACACACACACACACACAGGAGGTTGTGAGGGAAGCCAGACATACTGTTAGAGTCAGCCAGAAATGAAAAGGGAGGTGGGGAGAGGGAGGAAGAGGAGGGATAGCAGTACACAGAAAGGGGGGCTGCTTTAGTGGAAGGACAGAGTAGAAGAGTTACCAGGAGGGACACTGGCCTTCTGGTTCACCTCAGCCTTGAGATGGAAATTTCTCTGGAACAACAACAAGTCCTCACTCTAACACTAACCATGTCCACTAAACATGTCCTCCCGACACTGTCCATGGTCCACACTGCATGATAGATGTGCACGCTTGTCTCACTACTGTCCCAGTGCTCCCTCGCCTTGCTCTGTCCTGTGTGCTGACATTGTTGAAATTTGCTCAGGCTGTGAGCCTGCTCTGCTCTCTGCCTGCAAGGTTTCACCTGACAGCAGTGTTTAAAAGTCGCTGCCAGAGGAGGTGGTGTGCTTTGTGTGTGTGTATACCTTTGCAAGCATGATCCTGGTCTTTGCCACGTCAAGAGGAGTGGTAACAAATGCTGCTACTGCACCTACAAAGGACACATACAGGCGTTTAGTAAAGTGCAAACATAAAAATCCCTTTTTATGCTCTCAGAACAGTCTTTAAATATTAAAAATATACCAATAAAAAAAGTCCAATTACTTATCCGGGGTTACAAAAATGGATTAATTCAGCAATAAATAGAGGAACTCTTGGCCTCCTGCTCCATTAAGTTCATAAACATGAGAATATCCCCCATCTGAGACCTTCCCTGTTATTAGACCACAAAAACCAGACAGACACAGCTCTATTCCCACTGCCTCCCTCCCTCAGCCAGCCCACGCCTTCCCCTGAGCTACACACACACACACTCACACACAAGCATGAAGATGGACACATTTGGATATGTTCAGCCACACATAAACACATGGCTACATGTACACACACTCCCTCTGAAGAGTTTTATAGAGCAGTTACAACACAACTTTGGTGCAGCTCTCCAAGTTGGAAGCTGGACAGGCTGCACGATCCAAAGGTGTCCCCGCTGAGCTGCAGTGTGTCTGAGTGAGAAACTGTGTGTGTCACTCTGCCACAAACATGGAAACTGGTCTCAGTAAACATCTCCATATGGGGCCCGGGGGAGCACTGTGACTGTAAGTGAGCCCAGGATCAGTGTGGTGTAACACTGTTACACTTGTATCCAGTAATGTTAGCTGATTATAAGAATGGATTTCTTTTTTTTCCCTTCTATTCAGTTGGATAAGACTCAAAGTTCAGCAAGGATAAAAAGTAAAAAAATCCCTTTCTGTAGTCTGTTTTGTAATATTCCTGGACAGCAGTAAAAGCATGCATTATACCAATAAATCTTACACATGGAGCGCTGAACTGAAGGATTTAAACTCGGCTGGAAATACTATACGATGTGATAAAGGTTAGACAACAACGAGTCAGTGACGTAATCTCATCTCTGCTTAAGGCAGTTTTCTCGAGGCGGTTCAAACGAGGTCAGGTCTGTTGTAAGTCAGAGCGCGGTGCTAGTGGAGATATCTGGGATGATTAAAGCGACTATGAATGGATGAAAGACAGAGTGAGAAGGGGAAGTGGTCTGAGGATCCCTCTTGGACAGCAGATGATTTACTGATTATTATAAGTTAAGTTCATTTATTATCATTAAGAGTTAATCTCCACCAGCTTTACAAAGGTTCAACCCCACTAATGTGAGGAAATAAAACAAGCAAAATGGCCTGATAAGCTGTTCTTTATCTCGTCAGTCCCTTCTGCTGGGTCTACTTCACCTCCGGCTCCATCCCTCCATCGCCCCCGAGCTGTTAACCTCAATCCTCCTCTTCTGTCTAGCACGTTGTAACACTGCGAGAGTTACGAGCTGAAAGCTATAACCATCCAATAACTGGCTCCTTAGACTGACCTGCGGAACTGTTCTTCTTTTGAAATATGTATTTTGATTGTGGGTCTACTTCTTCATCACAAAAAAGGTGAAGACTGTATGGAAAGACAGATGATGTGATTTTTTTTTTTTTAATTCAGAGCTACAGTGCCAAATGCACCAAAGATTTTGTTCCCTTGCTCTTACAATGGGGGAAATAAGTATTCAACACAAACTTTTTTAAATTAAAATAAATGAAACACTAAATTAAGCCTAAACACATTGGAATTAAGACAACATAGCTAAAGAAATCACACAATTCCAATCAATATAAAAAGCTGGTGTTTCCAGAGCTCTTTTCCTAAGAGCTCCTGTGTGCGACCAGTTCATGGTGGAGTGATGCTTTTTAAATCTGTAGATGATGGCCCCAGCGCTGCTTCTAAGAACATTTAGGGGTTGAGAAACCTGTTCCTATGTTGCCCAGCAATTCTCCTGCGAAGGTCCCGGCAGAGTGCTTCGCCCCCACCCATCATGAGATGCTTCTTGTGTGACAGCTCGGTAACAAATGATGCAGTCACAGGTGGCTAACCCTTTATAACAGAGTGGAAGTACTAACAGCCACATGCACAAACCTGGCTGACCCTAGTAGCACAGGTAACAGGTGGAACCTCAGTGATTTCTTACTGGGTGTTCATTACTTTTTCCCTGTATCATTTCAATTTAAGACAACTATTTTTATTGATTGGAATGTTAGGATTTCTTTAGCTATGTTGCCTTACGGAGGTAATGTCAATGTCTGGCTTTAATGTCATGGAAATAGCTGCACTGTACGTTTAATGACAAAAACATTGACATGTTAAATATTTTTCCCGCCACTGTAACCTGCAATCATCTAAACCATTTCTCTGTAGCAGTACCAGATCATTTCATGTATTTCTCTTTACGCAGGAAAACGCATTGAACCCAAAGGTGTGAAACCAGGTCACAAAGCATCCATACAGATTTCACATACAAAAAAAAAAAAAACTTATCACAAGTAACACCAAACACTTGTAAATAGTTTAAAAATGGATCTAACAAAAGAAGTAAAGGGGCTGCACAGCCACACATGTGTATTTTCACTAACTGTGGCTGAAGCTGCGAGAAGCTAAGCCAGGAATTAGTTAAGCCACTAACAAATAAGGATGTCTGGTGTAACTTGTTCCACCCTAACAGGTGCAGGGCAGGTGCCTACAAGCTTTAAGAGCTAGAAGTTTCAGAACAGCTCCATGAAGAATAAAGTGCTTTTACAGTGAGAACAAGCAACGTTTATTAACAATAATAATAATAATGATGAAGAGTTTGTAGTCTTAAAATAATGTCCTTATGATAACAGCAACACTGGGCCTTTATCTGGAGATGGAACTCCATACATTAAACCACAAATCATTAAACATAGGATTATGTAAAGGTCATAATTGTTTGACCTGACTTCTTTCACTTGAGCTTCTAGCCTTTATAATATTTCTCCTTTCTCTCCTCCCCCCCCCCCGTCTCTCTTGTTTTTAGTCCACTCCCTTTCCCCCCTTTCCCTCGTCTTTCTTACTTCCTCCCTCTTAAACTGCTTCAGGCCCCAGCGCTCAGGAGGTCGCACAGCTGCAGGGGCCAATACACAGTAATCGACCCCTCTCATCCCTCCTCTCTTCTCCCCTGGCTGTCTGTCTCTCCCCTGATACTCATCCGGGCTAAGACCGACCCATGAAGCCTGCGATGGTATGATTTTAATTAGCTGAGGGGCTTGAGAACTATGACAATGAGATTCTTCTATGGAGACAATGACGCACAACCACTGTACTAGTTTAATGCTGTTTGGTAATGTTTAAGAAAAGGGCCACATCCGCCTGTCCCTATATTCACCTGCCTCCTCTGTCCTTCTGTGAGGACATGATCTGCCAGCTGAGCTCACCTCCGTGGAATCCTACACAAATGTGGCTTTGGGTAAACTCGTCCTGCCCTCCTGGCCCTCTACTCACCTATCCATCCATCCATTCACTCCCCCTCCCCGGCCCCCTTCATCTACCCCCCCTTCCCCATCCCCACCTCTTTCCCAAAGCATCATATAATCCCCTGCACCTGCAAAAGCTCCGCACACAGCAGCTTGCCAAGAGTAGAGTCTGTGACCTTGCCTCCAGTACCAGAGTGTCTGGGAGGGAGAGAGAGAGAGACAGAGACAGAGAGAGTGGGTTGTTGATAGAGGAGGATGATGAAAGAGCAAGCAAAAGGGAGAAAGAGGGAGAGAGGAGACTGTAGTTAGTGGAATAATCAGGCACAGTGAAAACACAGTGTGAACCTTGGTCCGGTCTGGGGTCCAGGCCCACGGCTGGGAACCAGCTTGTCCCGCTATTTTTGTGTTGCCTTTTCTCCCCAGTGATGTCATGCTACTTGTTTCCCAAGAACTGGGAGGGAGGCAGCGTGCCCACTCTGTCAGGCTCAATCTTTGGCATTTTGTCTGTATACTATTATTTTGAAGTGGGTCCCATCAATTTTTTTTAAATTTCTTTATTTATTGATGTAGTAAAATAAAAAGAGTATAAAGTTTTCTTATTGTGAATAACTCCTTGACAAGGACAAAACCAACAATGAACTGATGCTACGAATGTGCAGGTTATTGTCTGTCCTTTCAAAGCCATGTCTGTGTCTAAGAACCCTCATGACACAGGCCTGCTTACCTAAATGCAGCTGGCTACTGAGCGTGACCACCTGATGTTTGTGTTTTGACAGTGAACTCGGGATGGGGAGGCAGGTTGTCCCAAACAGTTTCTGCTAACTGATGAGAAGGCTGACTCTGTATGGTTAGTCTCTGTCTAAAATGCATATGGACAGCTGGGCTGCCTTGGGCGCTGCAAGGTATGATTACGTCTCAGGGAGAGCAATCGAGCAACAGCATGGAGTGATTACTGAATACTTACAGGCCAATCTGTTGCATGTTATCTCATCCTCCTCTTATCTCGCACACGTGGACATCACAAAAACCCATGTGTGTCTGTATGTACATGTAAACACAAACAAGTAAACAGAACACAAGAGAAGAAAGGAGGCCTGGCGGAGAGTGTGTATGTGCTCAGGATGCGTCATGTGTCTTCCATTAGAGGGCAGATAAAAAGGAGATTGTGTTTTCCCACATCAAAGGCCTCACGCTGGGGGATTCCTCTGCATCTCGCTCCCTGTCCAAGTCACTCCCTCTCTTCCTCTTGCTTTTGTGAATAGATAATAAGGGGTGAACCTGGGAAAACAAACTTTTTGACCTGTGACCCCTGGTGTCAGGGCTGGGCTCTGCACCTGGACGACTTCCCATAGGAGAAGAGGTGGTGGGTCTGTGTGCGTGTGTCAAAGCATCACATATCTGTAGAGCAGTTACATTGGTCTGCAGGTCATCGGTTTAATCTGAGCTCCCATCGTGCCTGTGAAGCAGAATTCCATGAATTTCTTGTGGCTCTTTCTTGCTGTTCAATCATAAAATCAAAATGCTACACCCTCCTGTTTGGGTAGTGTTGTTTCTGAGGTCAGAACAGATGGGCTAAAATGTACAGCTGCTGCTGGGAAAAACAACCGAGTGGAACCACAATATTGTGAAATTAATGTGTGAAAGAAGATTAAGAACTATTCACATATGAAAAGCCATTAACTCTCTATGCGGTGACCAATGTGTCAAATTCTCACAGATCCTGTGACAGAGAACTTATGCGGTGACCAATGTGTCAAATTCTCAAAGATCCTGTGACAGAGAACTTCTCTGTAATATCCCAGAAAATCAAGGACCGGCTGAACTCAACTCACTCTATGAAAGGATTTGTCGTCTTATTCCTCCTCCAAGAGGCCTACAACAGTTGGTTGGTTTTCTCTCACTGACAGCTGTGCTGGCTCAGTGTAAAGTAAAGAGAAAAGGCCATAGCACAGCACATTACTACCCCACAGAGCAGATGGGAGATCATGCCACACACATTCACTCTCAGATTGCTCTGCTCAAGCAATTTTTTTTCCAGCTCAGTCATAATATTCTTGTTTATGAAAGCCTCTGGACATCTTGGCGGCCACTCTGAAGGAATGGGAAATAAGAACGTGTTTGGTTGCAAGTCGCTGCTTTCCCTCTTCTTACCCAGGTTAGCCTCTGCCACTGTAACTGAGGGAACACTTCATTAGTTATTCAGAGCGCCATGCTAGTACAGAAGATAACTGGACTGTACATCTGTGAAAGAAGAGAGGAGGGGAGTAAAGGCCAGATTCCAGCAGCTCAGCTCTCCGCCAACGGACGTGCCCAGATGGCCCGGAGAGAGGGAGAGAGAGGGCCTTTTGACTTGGGGACAAAGAGACACTTGTGACGACAACATCTAACACTTGCAACTGCACAAACGCACGCATACATATGGACACACACACAGCTGTGCGGCGTCTTGTTCGTCGTAGCTTGGCTGTTAGCTCCCAACACCGATGGAATGTTTGACTGTCCGTCTTTCGCACCCTTGAGACATAATGTCACTCCAACAAAACGCCGTCTTTTCAAAATGAAACTGCTTTTTATGTGTTTAGGGCCGCACAATGAAAAGAGAGCAGAGAGAGACATGGGAGAGAAAAGACATTAAGGAAGAGATTAAAAAAAAGGTAGAAAGAAATATACAGGACTGGAAATGCTTGGTATATTGACGGTTGGTTTGATGGCAGTCATGACAGCCCATCAAACTGAGGCGTAAAATCCCATTTTCTCCTGCCACAGTGATACGGGGGAATGCAGCCGGTGAGCCTGCCGTAAATGCACAATATTATAACTTTACTAAAGATTCACCATTGAGAATAATTAGTGTAAATGATGGCAGTGAAGAACGGTGAACAGTGGAGAGATGAGCAAGGCAAACATTTACAGAAAGAATACATACCTTTAAATACTCCCAGAGCGGAAACTGCACCAGGGAGAACGGGACCTGAAAAACAGTAGACAAAGCTTTAATCAGCAGGATTATGTCAGCTTTAATTTTTGATTTTTTTCTGGAGGTTCAGGTTTCGTCTTTAACCTCCAAACTCCTGCACTTGTCATTCCTGCCACCTTTCTCCGTTTCCTTGCACTTGACTGCTCCCTGACTCCTTCTCACTGGTGATGATTAATGAATGAAATGGGCTGTGGTCTGGCGGTCCTGAATAGATAGAGGGACGGATAGATGGAGAGCACAAACCTGGAAATAGCAATAAAGGGACGAAGGGAGGGTCTGGAGAGATGGATGGAATGTGAATGTTGCTACTACAAACACTAACTTGACTCAGGCAGGAGGAAACCAATGGCAGTGCCAAGGCAACGGCAAAGCACACACAGTCAGACCACACACTCACACAGGAATGGGCATATACATGCAGAAACACACACACACAAACACAACCAGACATGTGAATTCTCTTCTTCACAGAAATGCAGTGCAGACACACGTGTCCTATCGACCTGTGCTGCAGGAACGACAGAGCAGGACAGGAAGGAAGAGAGGAAACACAAACAAGACCAACGAGAGAAATAAATACACTGAGTTGCGTGTCATCGGCCTTTGATCACAGCAGCGAGGGGATCATTCATCCACCTGTGCCGCCTCCTCCAACATGTTCCATCAGACTACATTAAGACATCAGTAAAAACCGAACCGATCCAAGTCTGAGTCGGCCAGAGCACAAAGACTATACATGAAAAGTGTTTATGTCACTTAATGAGCGTATTAAGCACTCTGTCCAAATGAACTGACCTCATATAAACACTCGGTCTGAAGTAGATTAACAAAGCGTATCTGGCACATCTGCTCTCTGAGAGCTCAATTAAAAGCTATTTAGGATCTTTATAATGACTTGGGCTTCTATTAAAGGCCACTTGAAAACAAAGTTGTCAAAACGAGTGCAAACACAATTGAGCAGAGTAAACAGTTTCAGAGATGACCTTGTAAAGGACCTGATTTCCAACTGTACAGAGATTAATATGACAAACAGGGAACATACTAAGCCTAACATACATTAAGATGAGATATTAAAAAAAATAAGTCACCAGTGACCACCTGGTGAAAAACTTAATACCTTTACCTTGCAAGTAACCTCTATCAGACATCTCAATATTAGAAAAAGCATCAGCACACACCCATTAACACTGTAAAAACAGGAAGAGTACAAATGTCTCATAAAAGTCTCCGAATGACTCATGGTGAAGCCCCACCACAGCTGAATGCTGATGCCATGCAGTTAAACTCCCTCATCTTCTTAATAATGCTGGCTTATGTACTACTCAGAATTTGTAGGAATTTGTGAAACAACAGTCAGTAACTTCCCGCAGGAGCTAGTTTGTCATTTGTAGCTGACGACCGTGAATTCTGTCAGCTGAAAGGACAACTGACTGTATCGCATCAGCACACACCCCCTAGCAGAATGGAAAATGACAATTTTGCAAAAAATAAATATTTGATGACTGATAAAGCTAGGTTTCTCTCACCAGCTGATGATGATCCATGTAATAAACACAGAAACAAAGGGCAACCCTGCTTGTGTATTTCAGACTAGACATAGTTAGAATTAGTTAGAAATAGTGTAAATAAAAACATTTGTTCCAATCCAACACTTGAAATGCTTGGATGCTTACTATCGAGTCGCATACGTGGACAACCAACACTGACATCATACGCTTTAGTGGTTTGCTTAAGTTTCACAAGAGAAAAAGGATCTGAGCCTGAGGTGAGTCTGGTAAATGTAACAATAAGGTTAAGTAGGTTTGACTGGAGTTGTGTAAGTGTAAACCTTCCCAAACCAAACAATAAGCAGGACTGCACTACTGTCACTGTCAGTACTCGGTTGTTGTTGGTACTTGGACTGGTGCGCTATGCTCCAAGCTTTTTGAGCTTGAGGCCCAGCTGTTAATCTCTTTACCTACAGTTTACCTAATATTGATGCTTTCATTTTGAAAGCAGACATGGCGTCAAGAAATACAAGTAATTTTATGTCCTCTCCTTTTAGGTCACACATTGGGCTGCTGCTCGACAAACCACTACGTGGCGCCAGCACAAATGTTCCAGTGGAAACTCTTTGTGCCCATCTGGTCGATCCAAGCAGACAGAAGCACATTCTGTCAGTCCTTGGAGATGATCTGCAATTTTTATTCAATGTTCTGTAGGCCTGGTATCCAGCCCCTTGAAAGTGGAGTGTAATACAATGAAGAATGAGAGCACCCCTGGTGTCCAGCTGTGGAGGGATGAGAGCGAGCTTTCAAACGGAATAACAGAACACATGTCATTTATTAGTACCCTGATGAGTCCTGCTTTTCCAGGCCAGGAAGAGGGAGAACGGGGGCGGTGCTAAATAACAGTAACTGTAATCTGGACGTTTTGTCTCATAATGGAATTTTCAGCTTTGTAAGACGGTACTAAATAGCGTCTTAAAATGTTCCTAGAATTGTTTCACTATCTTTATAATAGTTATTTTATATCAGTTTGAAATGCAGTAGACAGGAACAGCTAATGATACTAATCGCCACTTAAATTAATTGCCAGTTATTTTTTATGAAGTTTTATTCATTTTATGGATTAGCTGGTGCAGGCCTTAAAATGTAATTTTAAAAATAAAAAACAGTATTTATTTTATTTTTAAGAACTAGAGAGAGAGAAGGAAAGATAGATGGGTTCTGTAG